GTGCTGGCCGTGTCCTTGGCCCGTGTGGCCACCAGGCTGTTATTGGCTCGTTTCATCTTCAGCGTGCCCAGCTGGCTGTCCAGCCGCCCCACCTGCTCCATGGCGCCCTGCAGCTGGCGCTCTGTGCTCGCCGCCTGCAGCTGGATCTGTCCGGGGGGAGCAGGTCAAGCTGGGAGCCCCCCATCCCTGGCAGGGCCCCCCCAGCGCTGCCCGGGCTGGCTGTGATCATATGAGTGCTCTGTGCCCAGCCCTGGCATTGCCCGGACCGAGGGGGCTTGTCCGTGATACTGGTGGGGACGGCGTACCGGGCAGGTTTGGGCATCGCTGCCCCGTGGTGCAGAAGGGTTCAAATGCCCCTGGACACCGCAGGGGGCAGGAGCTGTGGGGTAGGTAACTGGCTGGAACCGACCCAGGAGCCCCCCAGCCTCGCCAGCTGAGCCCTAGCAAGGGGGAACGCGGCCGGCAGCTGTGAGCCCAGCGGGGTCTGCAGGGAGAGGGGCTGGGCGCAGGGCGGGAGAGCCGAGGAAGGGGGCCAAGCTGGGCTGGCCAGGACTGGAACCCGGCACTGGCTGTGTGGCACAGGGGGACGCTCCGAGCAGGGGCCTGGCTGGGCAGAGCTCCCGGGGGCAGCAGGGGCTGCAGCCCGGCGCCTCGGGCTCAAAGGTGGGGAGGCCACGTGACCCCGGGGGCCCGGCCCACGGAAGGGAAGTGCGCAGGCTCAGCTCCCTCCCAGCCCATGGGGAGGACAGAGCTGCCCGTGGGGCTGGGGGTGCCCGGCTGAGGCTCCCCCCTGCGCTCACCGTGCTCAGGGTGCCCTCCGTGTGGCGGATGTCCTTGCTGGCGCTGCGGATGGCGCTCTCAGCGGCGCTCTGGGCTCGCCTGGCATCCTCCAGCGCCCGCCTCCCCACTTCAGCCGCGTTCTTCACGCTCTCGGCCCGCGACCTGCACCCGGGCACACGGCAACACATGGGGCCCTGGGCTCGCCCCACCGCTCGCCCAGCCGCCCCTCCCTGGGGCCAGAGCCCAGCCCACCCGCCCCTGCCTGTTACAGCAGGCTCCCCACAGCGTCGCTGCAGGCATGGGGGGCTGTGCAGGAAGTGGGCGTCGCCGGTGGGTAGCCTGGCACCCTGCCCCGTGGTCTCACCTGGCCCTGCGGGCGTCCTGCAGTAGCTGCTCCGCCCGGCGCACATCGCCTGCCGTCTGCTCCAGGATGGCATCCACGTTGGCCAGGCTGCTGACCCGCTCCTTGATATCCTCGGCCAGGTGGCGGATCTGGTCGGGTGAGGCCGGGATGGAGAGCGCCAGCACCCGCCCAGCCACCACCTCAATGCTGTCGGGGTCGGCCCCCTCCTCTGCAGGGCAGGGAGCGGGTCAGCACTGCCGCCCCTTCCCCACCCCCGCGGTGCCCGCCCCCACAGTGCCCACCCCATCCCTCAAACAGTGCCCTCGCTGACACCTCCCCCACACTGCCCCCAGCCCAGACACCGCCTACGAGTACTGGCCTGTTCCCCAGACAGTGCCTGCCCCCCCATTCCTTCCCCTCCCCACGCAGTGCCCTGCCATCCTCCATCCCCGCCCCACGCCAACACCCATCCTGCCCCGGTGGTACCCAGCGCCACAGCCCCAGGACGCTGGTGCAGGGGAGGGGCGGGCGGGTGGGGCCGGGCACTCACGGCTCAGGAAGCTCTTGATCTGGTGGATGAGTTCGCGCAGAGCCATGTTGGAGCGCTCCACACGCGCCCTGGTCTCGTTGGCCTTGTCCAGCGCCGCCTGTGCCCTCCGCCGGGCCGAGTCAGCCTTCCCCTTGGCCTCGGCCACCTGCCCAGAGACGTGAGAGCCACGTGCCACCCACGGGCACTGCCCGGGGACGGGGGAGCCACGTGTCGCCCACGGGCACTGCCCAGGGACGGGGGAGCCACGTGCCCACACTGCCCACGGATGGGGGAGCCACGCGCTGCCCACGGGCACTGCCCAGGGATGGGGGAGCCACGCGCTGCCCATGGGCACTGCCCACGGATGGGGGAGCCACGACCCCACACTGCCCACGGACGGGGGAGCCATGCACTGCCCAGAGGCACTGCCCAGGGACAGGGGAGCCAAGCACCGCCCACGGGCACTGCCCACAGATGGGGGAGCCACGCCCCCACACTGCCCACTGACGGGGGAGCCACGCGCCTCTCACGGGCACTGCCCATGGACGGGGGAGCCATGACCCCACACTACCCACAGACGGGGGAGCCACACGCTGCCCACGGGCACTGCCCACGGACGGGGGAGCCACGTGCCACCCACAGCCCCTGCCCACAGATGGGAGCTGCAGCCCACGCCCTGCCCCTTGGGTCCCTCTCCGTGCCAGGTCCCCCCTGCTGCCCGCTCCCATCCCCGCCCACACCGCGTACCTTGTGGAAAAGCTCCTCCACCTCACCCATGGCCTGGTGCAGCTCGGCCTGGGTGTGCCGGGCCCGCTCCCGCGCGCTGCTGGCCCTGGCCACTGCCCCCTGGCAGTTGAGGCCCCCGCAGTGGCGCCTGCCGTCCTCGTCCCGGCAGCCGGCCCCCCCGCAGGCGCTGCTGGTGCAGGGGGCATCCCCGGGGGCACCACACACCTGCGGGCAGCAGGGCACTGTGGGCCGGCCACCCCAGGAGCTGGGGGTAGCTGCCTGGAGCTGCTGTGCCATGGGCTTGCTGCCCCCTGCCCCT